ACGCCAGTATACATATCATAATACAAATATTATACTCTAATATAACTATATACTACATACTATGCTTACATATAACATGCCCCCAGGGCCAAACCAGAGCAGTCTCTGCGACTTAATATACTAAAAAAACAATATATATATAATTACAGAAAAACTAACATTCAGTTTCTGCTATTTCTGGCTTATAAACATAGGTTTTTTGCTTTTTTGATTTTACAAATAAAAATACGATAACTATTACTACTATCAAAATACAAAGATATTCTACAATAATATGATATTCCATTGGAACTATTAAAATGTTTTCTGTTATTCTATTATTCGATTTTCGTTCTATTGTGGATTCACGTATTGCTTGGCGAAGGTTTTTATATAAACCAAAATGACTGAGTGTATGGGGATTAATATCTTCTATATCTAATTCCTTGATATTACTTATATTATACAACGGACTTTCCGGTACTAAATGTAATGTATGGTTAATAAATGTGTTTAAGATAGGTGACATTATTGCCATAGTTGTGTGTAGTATACAAAAAGGAGAGATACTAAGTCGGCCAATGCCTTTAATATTAAACTGAAATGATTTTTGAGGGTTTTTACAATTTAGGGTTACAAATTCAGAACGAGTACAATAAATCCAAGAATCCGTTTTAAATAATCGGTTCCAAATACTTACATCAAGTTTTATGTATTTACTTTTACATGAAATTGGAAGAAATTGCGGATTTTTTAAGATTTCTACCTCGCACATTTTAGAGGATGCCCTTCGTTGAATTGGTTCATTGCCTTTGTAAATAGTGTATGAAGTTAGCCTAGTACAAGAATCACTTTGTTGTTGAGTCAAGGTGAAATAGAATTCGCTATCATCGCTAAAAGCTATATAATCAATCTCTGGCTCAATGATAACAGCATTGTCCTTATTCATAAAAAAGGGTAATGGAATGGGATGATACATGTCGTAGCTATTTACAGTGATTATAGGGAAATGCAGTGCAAAAACGAGAAGAAAATTTTTTTGTAGTATGGAAACAGAAGATATTGAGAAAAACTCTGGTACATTCTGTATTTTTGGTTCTACTGGAAGTTGGGTTCCTGCAGGTAACGTTAATTGAATTGCTTTAAGTTCCTTAATAAGCTTAATTGGTGGTAATACTGTGGAGTGAATATTTCCATGAATTGCTGAATTTATATTAGAAATGAGATTTTGCGTTTCGTACGCGTATTGATTAAGGAGTGATTCTAAAATAATAGATTGTTCTAACAAAGTGGTTTTTACCATTAATGTATTCACTGTCATAGAATTTTTGTTTGCCTGAGTTTGTAGAAGTTGAAAATTTTCTTTGAGCTTTTGTTGATGGTCGGAGATGTTGCTGATTGATTTTGAAATCTCACTCATATTTGTTTGGAATAATCTTGTTTGATTTTCTACTAAATCACTTGTCGGTTGTTTCGTCATGGACAGATCCTTAATCCCTTGAAGAATCGAATTTACATCTAAAAATGATTTTGAGCTGAATAATACTTTTGCCAGCTTGGTGAGTGAAGTACCAAAACTGCGACGAACTCGTCCTTCCCCACTAGTATCCTGCCCTATTGTTGTCCAAATATTTTCCAGATTGGCTTCGATTTCGAAAAAATATGTATTAATGGATTGATCGAATTGTTTGCATGGATGCCAGAATTCGGTTACATTAACTTTATATTGTAGATCAGTGCAAACTTCTGCCGTGGCTTTATAGGTTGACCTTAACAACTGAAATTTTGAATTAAAATTGGATAAATCCACAAAAGTTATGAGGTTCCAATCTGTGTTAGTGAGTTTGATATGTTCCCTGAATTCATAGTACATCCCCATGTGGTCCGAGAAGGTATTCAAGCTAATTAGACTTTCTGGAAGTTGTGTAATACTTTCTGCTTGCACATCCAGTGGGACAGTTGCTACCAGCCTGTAAGATTTCGATTATGTTACAAAGTAGTTGCTATAAGATCTAAGAACTTCCCCAATATTAATGAACTAGTGTGCCGTTAAAGAAGAGGTGCATATAAAAAAAAAGATATGTACAAATTAGTAATCCCACATGGCTACTCTTTAAATATTTTCACTAAATTCTTATGGACTTTGGTTTTCCGTTTTCCTCTCTGTATTGTCACATTCTCGTTCTCGTTGATTTCCAGTACGACGTATGGGCCTAACCATTTAGGACTTAACTTACCCTTTCTAGTTTTGTCCTGAATAAGCACTCTATCGTTAACATGAATCGTTATTGGATTTGACAGCATTGGTATTGGACTTTCCAGTTTTGTAAATTACTTCATATTGGTATTCGGCTAACTTTAATCTCCAACGTAGAAGTCTTGAACCTGGATCTTTTACATTAAACAACCAAGTTAATGGTCTGTGGTCCGTGTAAATTTTGAATTGACGCCCAAGTAAATAAGGTCTGAAGTTCTTTACAGCCCAGACTATGCTTAGCAACTCTTTTTCGGTCGTACTATATGCTTGTTCGGCTTTATTAAGAGTTCTGGACGCGTATGCGATAGGTCGATCCTGTCCCGGTGTACCCTGTGACAAAATACTTCCAATTGCGAATTGGCTGGCATCTGTGGTTAGGATAAATGGTCTTTCAAAATCAGGATATTGTAATACTGGTGCTTCTACGAGTTTCTGCTTGAGAGTTTCAAAAGCTCTTTGACATTCGGTCGACCATTCAAAGGGTACGTCTTTGTTTAAAAGTGCTGTAAGTGGTTTCGCTGTTTGGCTGTATCCTTTAATAAATCTCTTATAATAGCCAGATAACCCCAAGAACTGCTTGATTTCCGTTGTATTTCTGGGAACTTGGTGGTTTTGTACGCATTGGATTTTTCCCGGATCAGGTTTGACTCCTTTATCTGTAATGAGATGTCCTAGATATATCACCTCTCTCTGTAGGAATTGACACTTTGATGGTTGTAAGCGAAGATTAAACTTTCTAAGTCTTGAAAATACATCCCGTAAGTTGGATTCATGGTCCATTCTGAAGCGTAAACAATTATGTCGTCTAAATATACAAAGGCCTTGGTCCCGTTGATCCCTGTTAGAGCTGTGTTCATTAAGCGTTGAAACGTACTAGGAGCTCCGCTTAACCCGAATGGCATTCTCCGAAACTCATAGTGGCCCTTGTCAGTAGAAAACGCTGTTTTTTGACGATCTTCTTTTTTTATTGATACTTGATGGTATCCACTAACCAAATCCAACGTGGTATAGTATCTCGACCGGCCTAATTGGTCTAAGATTTCGTCTATCCTAGGTATAGGGTATGCATCTCCAACGGTCAGTCTGAAATCAACACATACTCGGTATTTTGGGTTTCCGTGAGCATCTGGTTTCTTCGCGACCATGATAAGTGGTGCGTTCCAAGGGGACTCGGAAGGCTGTATAACATTGTTACTTTCTAACTCTTCCATTTGTCTGACAATCTCTTGACGGTGAGCGTATGGCAATCTATACGGTCGAACGTTTACAGGTTTCGCTCCTTCCTTTAGGTGGATTTCGTGCTGTATTGCATCGGTAGAAGGGAATGAATCTCCCTCCAGCTGGAAAATATCTGGGTACTCGCTAATCACCTTCCAGAGACTATTTGATTCTTCCGCATTTAACTCTCGATATAGTATAGCTTCCCGAATGCGACTAATGCGATGCGTGTCCTCCGTAATTTCGTCAGTATTTGTCGCGATCAACGTGGAGGTTTCTCGGAACTCCTCAAATTCAATTTCTTCTATATTTAAAGGTGGTATCGTAATGTGCTCTTCTGAAGTGTTGATGGCAATAGCTAATATTTTTCCATGCTTAACTGTGTTTACCACATTTCCGAGACGGACGTTTTCTCCTTGTAGAATTTGTGAATGAACTACTAAATCTGTTCCTTCCGGTCTCGTGCTAGCGATTGGTACGATGGTTTCTGAACGCGGCGAAAGTTTGAGAGGATCGGTATTCATTTGAAAGATTTTGGACGAATAATAATCTATTGCGATACGATTTTCGGTAAGAAACGGGTTTCCTAAAATACCTTCATGAGGGATTGGGAAATCGTCATGGACTACCTGGAATTTGGTTGTAAGGGTTTCAGTGCCAAGATTTAAATTGAGGATTACGGAACCTAGCGTGCGTACTAAGTATTCATTGATTCCTTTTAGCTGATAACTTTGAGTTTCATCAACCATGACTTCATTTCTTAAAGTGGATAATTTTATCATATTTAAATCACTACCAGTATCTATAAGTAATTTAACACTATTTGTCAAGCACTGAGGAATTTTTAATGTGATATGCTTATTAATTAATTCTGCCTGGAAATAGAAAGCCCTTGCAGGTTCAGAGTGGCTGTTTTGATATCCCCCACCGGGCGAGCGCCACTTGGACCCGGCGTTTGTTCGTTTCCCGACGAAGTGCTTTGTTGCTCCTGTGCCTTACGTTCATTAACGTACTTTCGTTTGCGACATTCACTTATAGTGTGGTTCGGTTTTTTACAATAGTTGCACGTAACTATTCTGATAGTTTTTGTTTCCGTTTTACTCTTATTTTGCGATTCTCTGTAACGGGCTTGATCGGCTTCTGATGCACGGCATTGTTTTGCCTGATGATTTGTACGTCCACAACGAAAACATGCACCAGGTGGTCTACTGTTAGATTTTTGTACCGAATTTGTCTTGCTTCCGTAGCTATTACTCGGCTTAAAATCAGTCCTATTGTTTTTATAATCATTAATGTTTTTCCGAATTTCTTTTTGATTATTACGTGAAGTTTCTTCTTCCAATGCAATTCGGACACACTCCGATAATTTATTCGGTCTACTAGCTTTTACTAAAATCTTTGTATCGTGTGGTAACCCTTCGGTATAAGCTGATAAAACTTGCCTTTCTGTTATTTTGGATAAATCGTCGGTATTAGAAATGTCATTTGTTGCCATGGATGCTTCTATAATGCCGTAATATAATTGCTCAGCCCTGTCGCTATATTGCTAAATAGACTCCCCCGAAGCTATCTTAAATGTTGATAATTTCGAATGTAAATGCGTTAACGTTTGTTTTTTGTTAACAGTGAGGTCTAAAGTTTCCTTAAGTTCCTTGTAAGTGGTAGGTTTTTTATGTCTAAATGGACGTATGGCCTTGCCTATTAATCGAGTTGTTATACCCCTAATTAGATTTTCTTTCTCTGCTGGGTCGATGCTTTGTAACGCATATTCGCATGCATTATGAAATGCAAAACTATCATCAGCATTTTCCCCATTGAACAAAGGGATCAAGTTTAAAGCTTGGTGTGTCGTCATAAACTTTGACATAATTGTTTTCTTTACTACTTGATTTTGATTAAGAGTTAATTTAAGTAAGTTTCTCGCGTCTTCGAGAACCGAGTCAGTGATACCTATAGAATTGTTCGTCCTATCTAAAACATGTTCCGACTGAGATATATTGCTGTACCTACTATCATCGGAGTCGAATTCGCCAGAAGGTTCGTATAATTCCCCGCTAGAAGGGACACTAACACTACTTTCTAGATCTATAAGATTGTCAGAACTACTGGTTTCGTTTTGATCAATATCTGACATAGACTTCGATTGATATAAAATAAATAGCCCGAGTAAATAACCAAACAATATAGAATTAATTAATTAATTAATTAATTTCCTCAATTACCTTTCCGATTCCATGCAAATAACAAAAATAAAAGCAAATAAAAAAAAATAATAATAATAATAATAAAAAGAAAAGCGTACACCAAAATTAAAGTATTAATAATATAAAATTATAATAGTACAAAATTAATTACGATCGCTTTTATTATATTGATTTCGATTTATTTTTCTCGTTCCTTAAATCGTACTATTACTAATTTTATATTACTGCACAACCGAATAAATCATCCTGCGTTTATGCGTTGCGATTTATAGAAAAAAAGAAAATTGTGGTAACTTACAAGAACGAGGCGGCTATATATGATAACATTGTTGATGGTGATAACCGTTTGTTTTGATTGATACGGGATGACGACAGCTGTGACCTAGTTATTGCGTCGACGGCGGCGGCGGCGGCGTCTTCGATATATCACGAATGCGGCGGCTCTGACGTCCTTGACACTCCGTGCGCGATCGGTGTGGCTAATGCGTCGTGTTGATACGACGGTCTCCGGTTACGTTCGTAGTTGGGCGGCTCTCGGTGGTGGTGACGGGTTCAGCGACGGCGGCGGCGGCGTTCGGCGTTGCCGTTGCTGGTGCTGACGTTTGCGGATTTTGTAATTTGTTTGCGACGTTCCTACGTCGTATTGTATATAACATGAATACACGTACTTGAAAATCTTGATGCTCTGTAAATTATTCGTTTTGGTTCTAAGATGCTCTGGAGTCTCTTGATATTTGATGCTCTGACGATTGTCCGTTTCTCCAACTATATGGAAAGGCGGTAGTACACGTAGGTTCTTCAACAATTTATTTTATAATAAAATTGTTGACTCCCGCTGCCACCAAATGATGTGTACCGGCGCGCTGTTATTCCTAGTTTAGAGATTAGGGACGTGTTTTAAAGAAATAATGCAAAGATGCTGTTTAAAAGATTAAAAGATGTGTTCATTGACTTATTAAAATGATTTTCTGTATAAAAATGAAAAGAGGTTCTGACTGGATGCCTGTGTTTACGAGACTGCCGAGGCGGCCGTGACCAAGGGGCCCTTCTGTACAACGGCCAGGGTGGGAATCGCTGGATCAGCAGATTCCTGGTCGAGCGTCCGGCTCCGTAGTCACGTACGCCAGTATACATATTATAATACGAATATTATACTATAGTATAACTATATACTACATACTATGCTTACATATAACAAAATTTTAAATTTTAAACATTGTAATAACAATGCCTACTTTTACTATACGATAACATGATATTAATTTTCGACGAAAACAATATTATTTTTATTGATGTCAATTGTTTTTGAAAAATAATAAATCAAAATTAATAAAACTGAGTTAATGGTATTTTAATACAAGTTTTTAAATTGTATTCATATTTATAAAATTAAAAACTAAATAAAATTGGAAACTTAAAATGTCTGTCAACAGTTCAAAACAAGTCACAATATTTTGAAAATGTTTTCAAGTATAGAAATTGATAAGATAAACATTCAGTCAACATTTCATGTATCTACGATAATTTGTTTTAGAGTTACACCTAAAACCTAAATCGATTTTGTCAAAAAACCAATTTTAAGTAAAAATTCCCATTTTTCCTGAATTTTTCTTTTGTCTTTTGAAAACTACTGGGAAATTGTTGACCCCCCTAAGTACCAACTAGTCACTAGATTCACTTTCCTATCAGAAAAGGTACTGTTGAAGAAAATTCAAGCACTTTTACAGTCCTAAGAGGTGATGACAGACACAAAAAGAACACACATTATAAAATGTATACCTACATTCATCGCTGCGTTCAGATTCTAAAAGAAGTAAAAGAACAAGAAAAAAAGAACAATTTAAAAAATATATTAATTAATTATAATATATATTTTTATTGGTTTAAAAAAAATATTAATAACAAATTGTTATTATTATAAACACAGGTAGCAAAGCTATAATAAGTCTAATTGATAAAAATTATAATAACCGCTTTTGTTGGATTTGACAAGAAAATATAATTTTTATAATATTTAAAAGCACTTTGACACTTCAGTGACTGTCAACAGACTACATTTTGTTTACTCGAATAATAGCAGGAAAGTATGAAAAAGTCTAGGGAATTTACATACCTAGGGAATTTCCAGTAATAAAAAGTTATTTTACTTTATATTATACCACTAGTTATATTTTATGATAAAATATGAAAAGGTCACCTATATTGGTGAAATATACGGTCGTCGGTCAGTATGATCTCTTATCTCTACATAGTGAATTTCCAGTAATAAAAAGGTGGGTAAGTGGGTGTCGCTCAGGCTCAGCTGTACATTCGGTTACAAGTGGGTCACTGTGATGGATGGTGTTAAATTTTAATTCAATAATATAATATCATTTCTATAAGAAAAACGATTCTGATCGAAGACAGTCAGTCAGCCTATGTTATATTGATATTACTATGTATATTTGATGCTATTATTGTGAATCTAGTAATTTATATATTATATTATTATAACCTATATTTACGTAGAACCTATAGTTTTAAATTTTCAATCCTTAGCTTTAAAAGTTGAACATTTTATAAATTTTTAACTACAAATATAATTATTAAATTTTAAACTTGATAAATGTTCTCAAAAATCAAACTTTAAATGATTATAAAAAAAAATTGTGCATAAGTATGTATTTTTAATATTTTCCCACTGCTATTTAAGCAATATATTAGGATTAAATTTATATAATTATATTTTATATCAAATTTTCACACATTTTGGCCCCACAAATAAAATTGTATTTATGTTTAAAACAAAAAAATTAAAAAAAAATTTTAATTTTAAATTGTTCGTAAACAGCTTTAAAATAGTCAAAATATTTTCAAATTCTTATGGTATATAGAAAATAAGAATATAAACATACAGTTAAGTTTTCAAGTATCTACAGTTATTCGTTTTTGAAATACAACAAAATTGTAACATAAGTGGGTTTCACTTCCCCTGCGTAACACAAAATTGTTTTTTTTATTTATTCTTTTAAAAATATAATTTTCCAAACTGAACATTTTTCAAAAAGAATATAATAATCTTGTTTCTATGGGCAACTCCAGTGTAAATAATATTATTTACACTGAAACTGTTTTATAATTCATATTAATTACTCAGTACCTACGTATATCAGTTACAACGAACATTAACTATAATACAATGCAAAACTAATTACGTACCTTAGTTTTGTATAATATATAAACATCAGATCAACATTATGTCGACTAACGAAGCCGTGAAGAGTTCGTCGGATGTTAATAAACAGTCCGCCACAGAAATCATGATCCAGGTTTTTGAAGACCTCCGGGAAAATAGGCCTAAAGTGTTGGAAGAGAGTGTGGTCACCAGTTTGAAGCTTCACAGGCGATACGCATCGTTGCCTAACATTTCGCTGCAGTCGATTTCCGCTGGTGAAGCCCCTCTGTCCGAAACCGCTTCAATGACGCAAGTATTTAGTGATCTGCTTGAAAATTTAACCGTGAAAATCGACGATATCAAGAGTTTTCAAAGGCGAAGCAAATCGATGCCAAACATATGGCATTCGAGACAAAGTCCGTGGGCGATGCACCAGAAGCGATTCCGTCCGTCGCTTCCATCGCCGAGATGCAAGTTTTGATGGATTCGCCATCGGCCGAATCATCGACTAACAGTGAAGAATTGAGACCTGCTGCTGTAAGAGCTAGCGACTTCGACTCTCTGTTACGCTTCACGTCGACTTTGCCACCTGTTCTGCCACTTGATTTCGACGCCCAGCATTTGAGTTCGATACCGAACACTTCAGAAACACAGTTAATCGGTGAGGCCGAGTCGGCAAAACCGCTGGAGCACGAGACGACCGGTGCAGGTTTACAGGACATCATGGTTACCAGAGGAAAATGTGGAGATACTGCAGCAACGGACGTGATAGTAAGCGCTGTCCGACCTAGTCGTCGCACACTGCAGTGGAGTCAGGCGAAGACATTTGCACTGCGAATGTTTTGTTGCGGTGTTCCCGACATAGACCGAACATAGATTATGTTCAGTTTTGTGAGAGGTTTGGGGCAGTGGCTTTTAAACGTCGCTGAAGTCTTGGCTCCCTCCCCTCTCGCCTTTATTACGCCTATGTAATACGCCAACGTAGTTAATAGCCGCGTAGTTTACTATAAATAATAAGTATTAGTATACATATGATTTTACTTACCGAGAAGAACAAGTGAAATTCTGTATACACCAATAGTGTCCATTGTTCGATGTATACTGTAAGACGTGCAGTGGCGGCCTGGCCAGGTCGGCGAGTCGGCGATCGCCGACTGGGCCCTCGGCTAAATGGGCCCATACAGCCATTACCCGATTGAGATTATATTATTTTAAATGTTCATAAATAACTAATTTTGTAGATATTATCTTTAAACGTCGCTGCAGTCTTGGCTCCCTCCCCTCTCGCCTTTATTACGCCTGTGTAATACGCCAAGGTGCGCTTTTGTCCCGAGTTCACAGCTCTTTTGTGTCCAGCTGGACGCCGTTTTGTTCGCCGGACACTTTGAACAAATCATCCGTTTAGGCTCGCCTTTTTTTGGCGTTCGCGCGGCAGACATTTTTTTGTCCTCTCGTTTGTTGAGCCGTTTCGTGCATCGGCACCGGCTTCGGCTCTTTTCCGTGTCTTGCACCACGTCGTGGTCGTTCTCGTTTCCCCTAGTAATACTCGTTTTTACCTACAGCTTTTTCCACAGCGGTTATATATACCCAACCACGTGATATCGCCACGTTTGTGCCTTGTATCCACTGTGGAATTAATAGTCAATAATCTGCAGTAGCGGACAGCAGTTACTTCTGCCCTGCGGTCAGAATTCTAGACCTGGATCAAAAGAAGTGTTTATGTAAAAAGATGATACCTACCTATAAATTATAAAATATATGGCTATATTTCCGTAA